TACTACTACTACTACTACTACTACTACTACTACTACCTACTACTACTACTACTACTACTACTACTACTACTACTACTACTACTACTACTACTACTACTACTACTACTACTACTACTACTACTACTACTACTACTACTACTACTACTACTACTACTACTACTACTACTACTACTACTACTACTACTACTACTACTACTACTACTACTACTACTACTACTACTACTACTACTACTACTACTACTACTACGACGACTACGACTACTACTACTACTCTACCACTACTCCTACTACTCCTACTACTACTCCTAGTAGTGATATTATGAATCGCAGCAACATTTGTTATGCCTTTCTTTATTATTAACGAAGCGGTGAAGTCTGGGTCCGTCGTGGCTTCCCCCAAACCCCCCGAAGGCTCCCGGAGCTGCTGCGGCCCCCCGCCGCGCAGCCCGCCTTGGGCGGCGGCGGCCGGAACCGCATCCTCACGTGGAAGCCAGGGGCGGCCTCCGAGCCGCGGGGGGTGGGGGGAGCAGGAGGGGGGTTTAGGAAGAGGAGGGGGAGATGATGACGGGGAGGGGGGGGCGGGATGGTTTGGGAGGCTGGGGAGGAATAGGAGGAGGAGGAGGAGGAGGAGGAAGAAGGGTTTTTTATTTCCCACGCGAAACATCCGACCGCCTCGCCGCCAAGTTCTGGATATCACGCCACAGCATGAGGATGCACGCGATGTGGCTGGACGCGGACGGGGGCTGCACGAATACCCAGGGAGAGATAGCTCATACGGAAACACAACACAATTACTCCGACGGTAGGACCCCGCATGGGGATATATTTCGCTTGCCCCTCGCCCTTTTCCTCTTCGACTGGCGGATGCCCTCCTCCCGCCCTTTGCGTCCGCCTCCTCCTACTCCTCCTCCTCTTCCTCCTCCTCCTCCTCTTCCTCATCTTCCTTCTTGTCCTATGTGTTACACATATTATCATCAACCTCCTCCTCTTCTTCTACTTCCTTCTCAATTTTCTCATTATATTCCTCCTCCTCGTCCTTCCCCTCGTCGTTGTCCTCCTTCTCCTCCTCCTGCACCGCTGCCTCCTCCCCCTCCTCATCCCTATCCTGCCTGTTTTCCTGATGCGCCTCTCCTTCCTCCAGGCAGGGGCGCGCCTGTCGGTTTTCCCCGGCGCTCTCGCCGCTGCACCAGGCAGGAGCGCGTTTTCCGACGGCAAAATCGGGAAGCCGCTGGGGCAACCCAGCAGAAGGCCGTGGGATCCTCCTGGGTTTCTGTCGGGCCGATCCCCTTACAGGGGGATTTGCACAAAAAATAAAACATACTAGAAAATGCTCCCAAAATTATCAAAAATGGTCAAAACACAGTCCTCATACAATGTTGTCTCTATGTTTGAATATTCCCCCTGTAGAAGGACTTCTCTTCCTTCTCTTCCTCCTCCTCCTCCTCCTTTTCCTCCCCTCCCTCCTCTCTCCTCCTCTTCCTCCCCAGACTTAATGTTTGTTCCTTCTCTTCCCTGACTTAATGTTTGTTCCTTCTTTTCTCCTCCTCCCTCTTCCCTGACTTAATGTTTGTTCCTCCTCCTCCTCCTCCTCCTCCTCCTCCTCCTCCTCCTCCTCCTCCCCCGATAGCTCGAGGGAGTGGCCCACGAGTGCCCGTGGCAGGTCCGCTGAGCGCCCCTCTCTCGAGCGCGAGCGCGAACGCGCCGAAGCCTGCCCCCCATGCGTATGTAGATACCCTGCCCGAAACGTGCTCACGATGCATCCATTAGGTGGGCACCCTCCTCCTCCCTCCTCACTCCTCCTCCTCCCGCCCTCTGCATCCCCCTCCTCCTCCTCCTCCTCCTCCTCCTCCTCCTCCTCTCTCTTCCTCCTCCTCCTCCTCTCCCTCCCTCCTCCTCCTCCTCCTCCTCCTCCTCCTCCTCTCCTCCTCTTCCTTCTTCCTTCTTGTCCTATGTGTTACACATATTATCCTCATCCTCCTCCTCTCCTCCTACGTCCTTCTCAATTTCCTCGTCATATTCCTCCTCCTCGTCCTTCTCCTCGCCGTTGTCCTCCTTCTCCTCCTCCTGCACCGCTGCCTCCTCCCCCTCCTAATCCCTATCCTGCCTGTTTTCCTGATGCGCCTCTCCTTCCTCCAGGCAGGGGCGCGCCTGTCGATTTTCCTTGGCGCCCTCGCCGCTGCACCAGGCAGGAGCGCGTTTTCCGACGGCAAAATCGGGAAGCCGCTGGGGCAACCCAGCAGAAGGCCGTGGGATCCTCCTGGGTTTCTGTCGGGCCGATCCCCCTACAGGGGGATTTTGCACAACAAATAAAACATACTAGAAAAATGCTCCCAAAATTATCAAAAATTGTCAAAACACAGTCCTCATACTATTTTGTCTCTATGTTTGAAGATTCCCCCTGTAGAGGGACTTCTCTTCCTTTTCTTCTTCCTCCTCCTCCTCCTCCTTTTCCTCCCCTCCCTCCTCTCTCCTCCTCTTCCTCCCCAGACTCAATGTTTGTTCCTTCTCTTCCCTGACTTAATGTTTGTTCCTTCTTCTCTCCTCCTCCCTCTTCCCTGACTTAATGTGTGTTCCTCCTCCTCCTCCTCCTCCTCATCCTCCTCCTCCTCCTCCTCCTCCTCCTCCTCCTCCTCCTCCTCCTCCTCCTCCTCCTCCTCCTCCCCCGATAGCTCGAGGGAGTGGCCCACGAGTGCCCGTGGCAGGTCCGCTGAGCGCCCCTCTCCCGAGCGCGAGCGCGAACGCGCCGAAGCCTGCCCCCCATGCGTATGTAGATACCCTGCCCGAAACGTGCTCACGATGCATCCATTAGTGGGCACCCTCCTCCTCCCCTCCCCTCCTCCTCCTCCCTCCTCCTCCCTCCTCCCCCTCCTCCTCCTCCTCCTCCTCCTCCTCCTCCTCCTCCTCCTCCCCCTCCTCCTCCCCCCCCTCCTCCTCCCCCTCCTCCTCCTGAGAGCGGGGGAGGGGCAGCAGGACCTCTGAAGTTTTCGTCGGAACAATTACGGAGGATTCAGCCCCATTTGGGAGCTGTTACGCCGGAGTCGGCCTCGGACTAAGCAGGATCAGTCCGGATCAAGGGGGAGTAAGCGGGATTAAACCGGATGAAGCGGGATTAAGCCGGATTTCGGACCAGGGCTAAATCAGAATTTAACCTCCCAAGAGTTGCATCCGAACATCCACAAGCGGAGACCCTGCCCAAGACTTCCCCCATACTCAAGCTTGAAGGTGCCAAACTGGTCGGAGGAAAAGAAAAAGGGCACCCCGCCGGAGATCTCCTCGTGAGTCGCTCACAGGCGAGGCTCCCAGCTGAGACTTCCTCCAGACTCAAGCTTGAAAAGGCCAGATATGACGACAATTAAGATATTCCGATGACCCGCTCAGATTGCTCACGTGAGCTGTGGGCCCCGTAAGGGGAGGGGGCCCCCGCCTGAGATGTCCTCGCAATTTACTCACAGCCGAGGCTTCTCCCTGACAGTTCCTCCAAAATCAAACGTGAAAAAGCCTCAACGAGTGACAACAATTACGCGATTCCGTTGGCCTGCCCCGGAACCATGAAGCGCGGGCCACATAGGAAGGGGGCTCCCGCCTGAGATTCCCTCGCAATTTACTCACACAAGAAGCTCCTGCCTAACACTTCCCCCGTACTCCAGCTTGAAGAGGACGACACTTACCTTTTCCCGACGACCCTCTCGGATTAGTAACACGACCTGGCAGCCCCATGTGGGGGGGGTCCCGCCTGAGACCCCCTCGCCATTCACTCCCAGACGGGGCTCCTGTCGAGGACTTCGCCCCAAATTTGAGGAGGCCAAAAGAGACGACGGTTACACGGTTCCGATGGCCCGCACGGATTGGTAACACGAGCTGCGGGCCCCAGAAGGGGGCCGGGGGGGAGCTCCCGCCTGAAACTTCCTCGAAATTCACTCACGCGCGAGGCTTCTGCCTAATGCCTACTCCACGCTCAAGCTTTGAAGAGGCCAGGAGCGACGGCTGTTACAAGATCCCGATGGCCCGCTGTGACTCCCAGCGTGAGCTGTGGGCTCCTCAAGGAGGGGGGCTCCCGCTCGAGGCGCTGTCGCAAGTCGCTCGCAGGCGGGGTTCCCGCCTGGTCGGCGATCGTGGTGGGATGGTGACGCTGGCGACGGTGGTGGCGGATGTGTTCGACTGGTGATGAGAAGGCCATTGCTGCTATGATGGTGAGGGTGGTGTGTGACGATCCGGAGACTGATTTTGTGCAAGGGGAGAGAACGAGAGCGGAGGGAGGAGAGGTATCGCGCGGGGTGTCCCGGAAGCCGAAAGCAACATGAGGTGCGGGCCCCAAAGGGAGGTGGATCCCGCCCTGCACTTCCTCGCAAGTCATTCACAGACGAGGTTCCCGCATGACACTTCCCCAAAATTCACGTATCAGGAGCCCAGGGAAAAGACAATTACAAGTTTGACGATCGACGATGACCCGTCAGGATTAAAAACATGAAGCGCGGTACCAATCGGGAGGGGGCCCCCGCCTGAGACTTCCTTGCAAGTCACTCACAGACGATGCTCCCGCCTGATACTTCCCCATATTCAAGCCTCAGGAGCTTAACAACGACGACAACTACAGGTTTGACGATGACCCGCTCTGATTAGAAAAAACCTGAAATGCGGGACCCATAGGGAGGGGGCTCCCGCCCGAGACTTCCTCGCAATTCACGCACAAACGATGCTCCCGCCTGACAGTTTCCTCGCATTCGGGCCCCAGGTCGACTGTCATTGCCCGGTTGGGCGCTGGTCCTGCCATCGCCAGCAGGGGCTCGTTGGGGCCAGCAGCCACGTCGCAAGGCCCGGACTATGGCCCGAAAACCAACCCCCCTCGCGTCGAATCCCCTCTGTCTCTCGACCGCACGCGACATGGATTACGGATCCGTGGATTTGGTGCGAGGGCGCCAGATTCACGGATCTGGGAAGGCACTCCCCTGGCCATCGCTCGGACGTCCATTCCCTGTGTTTTTGTTAGGTTTCGTGCGTGGCTTCTTCGCCAAATGATCAAGGATGCTCCGCGATGGCCCTCGCCGAGGCAAAAATGCACACGTCCGAGCGATGCCAAGTCCCTGAAGCATCATGAGGCCCGTCCCGCCGCATGTGGCGACGGAGCGCGCCGATTCAAGATGGACATGGGACCCGTCGCTAATCCGCGCGCCTTGATCCATATCTACGCCACCCCGACTCTTCCGCCGCCCGTCCTCTCAATCCCCCTCCCCCCCGTCCCGTTCCAGCCGCCATCCTCCCGCTGTCAGGCCCGAGAGATGCTCGCCGTCTGGTTTGGAGGGTCATCGCTCAAATCTCCGGCGGCCGTTGGAAACGATCTGGGCCAACGCCGGACCGCACTCGGTGCGGCGCAGCTGCCGGAAGGCATCCCGAGGGTGAAGACCGACGGGATCTGACGCAACTGCCAGAAAAACTCTGACCTCGAACCAAAGTTCGTCCCCCGCCATCTCCGAGGTCCCCCCCTCTTCTCTTTCATCTGTTTGGCCACCCTCGTGTCTCATCCCTTCGGGCCCTTTCCTGCCCATCCCGGCCTTGGACAGGGCACCCATCTTCACGGCCTTGACACCTGCTGCCTTGAGGCCGGGGCGCAAACGTACGGAAGTGGTGCGCGGGAGAGAAAAATTGTTGCCAACGTGGATCCCTGAGCAGTGCGTTCAGCACTCTGCACATGCAGCTTGCGCGGCGCAGGCACTGCGCCTATCCATTACCCAAGTGGTGAATGCTACGTGGTGCAAGCTCTACGGTACACTCTTTCGGTTGCGATAGGTGGTGCGCTTGATATGGTGCAAGCTTCTGGGTGCAAGATATGGGGTACAATCTACGTGGCTCAATTCACACTGCCGAATTCGAAATTGTCAACTGCACCGCTGGCACAATTATCCCACCCACCCACCCGCAGCTTGGCTGCCAAAACCCATGCGGCGGCGACTGCGATGACTGCTCGGCGCTGGCTGGCGCATCGCCGCGTCAGCGCTGGCGCACACGCTCGCGCGCACAGCGGCCAATTAGCTTGGCGCCACCAGCGCGGCCGCGGTGGCGCTGACCCGTGGGCACGTCGCAGCGGCTACTTCAATTACGAGTCGGCGACTTGGGCCGGCGGAGCATCATTGCAGCGCCGACAGTGGTAGACGCGATGCTGATGGTAGCGATTCTGGTGACGATGACGACAACGACGACGGAACGGCCTGTGCCCGCGCCGATGCTGACCACGCCGACGACGATGACCGCGCCCTCGCGTCGGTGATGAAGGCTTGCGAAGGAGTTCGGCATGAGCGCGCGGCCGACGCGTGAGTGGCCCGCATGGTATTGCTTGACGCCGATCGTACCTCCCCCCCAGCACACGCGCAAGGGCGTTCGAATGATTTCGACATGCGGCGCGAGAGGCCCGTTTGGCATGGCTTTCTGAAGAAGTTCGCAAGGCCGCGAGCGCAAGCTTGTTTTGGAACGCTGATGTTGCAAAGCCAACTGTCTTTGTGTATGTTTCGGGACACTCGATTTTGAAATCCTTACGAAATCTCGGATTGTTGAAAGATTGTGGCATGCGCGCGCGACGACGCGCGCGTGCGCACTTCGTCAAATCTGCTTGAAGGGATTATTGCGACAGCACGCGCTCAAGGGTGTTCTTGCGATTCCGACACGCGAGCGCGAGAGAACCGTTTGGCAGCATGTTAGGAACATGTTGAAGAACCTGTGGTTTCTCAAACTATCGCAAGAGCCCGAGCGCAAGCTTTTTTTCTGGCAATCCTGGTTGGGAAACCATGTTTCTTCCAAACAAAATGTTCGGGACACTCGATGTTGCAATCCTTACGGCACCGAGGGTGTTGACTGATGTCGGCATGCGCGCGCGACGACGCGCGCGTATGCAACTCGTCCCATTTGTTACACAAGACACTTGAACACTGATGGCTGTTGATAAACGGGTGCGGACTAAGGGCCTGCCTGCGATGGTACGGACTGGTATCTGGGATGTACGATGAGTCATATTGGATTTGACCGCAGCCGAGAAGATAATACCAAAACACGCCAGCGAGAAGCTCGTGCACTGTTGACACGCCATTCGCGCGCCGTTCGCTGTATGGGCGACGCGCTGTTCGCTGGATGGGCCGATGGGGGCACACGAACCGTTCATAACCATTATAGACAATTGTGATCACAGTACGCGGGGTACTAGGATAGAGATGTCGAACAAATACCCTCCGCACCCAAATTCTCACCCGACTCCATGTTGCGCAGACCACGCCGCATGACCGAAAATATGTCGAACATTCGCCACGTCCTGACTCCTGCAGCCTTTAACGCTGGAAGAAGCCTGTGGAAGGGGTGCTCACGGGGTGATCTGCTCTGGTTTCCAGATGGGTAATACAAGATTAATCATCGCATGCGTAGCCAGAAAACAAAGCGGGATAGCCAGGAACGAGATACAAAAAACGTGGCGCACGCCATTTGCGGAACATCTTGACAATCACCACAGTACTCGGACGATTGAGACATGCTGGCATGCCTGCCAGCTGCCTAGCAAAAGTTTGTGCTGTTCCAGGTGCTCGCCGACGTGGGTGTAATACCGCCAACTCGTGTTGCCCGCCGATGCCATGTTCGGACCCTAGACTGCTCCGAGACGGCAAGAGAACGTTCCTAAACAAATTGCGCATGTCCGAAGACCATGTCACGACGGTTTCCGAAAAGCTCCATCAGGCTCCCCCGAAGCCCCGAGGTGTCCCAGAAGCTCTTCACAGACGCCCGAAGAGGGCTCGAAGCGAGGCCCGACGAGGCAGGGACCGCAAATAGGAACTCCGTTGGAGCCGGGGAGCCCTAGTTAACCAGAGAAGGAGGGGAGCGACCTCGCTTCGTCAGGGCTTCCCTCGAGGAGGGCAAGCACTAATCAAACCTTGGGAACCCCATGCGTTTTGGTATGGCCATAGCCCCCTCCCCCCAACATGGCTGCTGCTTCCGAGGCGCTTCGCTTCAGATGCCCTCGGGAAGGCTCCATACCAAGCCTTCCCCCCTCCCAAAACGGGACCCGCCGCTAATCTTCGCGCATTGCTCCATGTTGACGCCACCTCGACTCTCCCGCCAATCCCCTCCATCCCCCTCTCCTCTCCCTCCTATTTCAACCAGCATCCGTCGTTCGGCTACACGCAGGAGTGGCCCCAGGCAAGAATGACCTTTCGTGCGCGGACTACTAGGGGGCGCGCAAGGTAGCCAAATCCAAGCGCGCAAGCAGCCGCTATCGCATTGCGCTCAGCGATTGGGGGGGAATCTGGTGAGACGGCACCAAACGTCAATCTGGCGAAGGTCACCCTTACGCGTAATCGATCCCCTGCTGGCAGGACCCGACAGATGCTCGTCGTCCTGTCTGGAGGGTCATAGCTCGGGTCTCTTGCGCCCGTTTGAAACGATCTGGGCACCCCTGGAACGCACTCGGTGCGGCGCAGCTGCCATCACGAAGCTGGAAACCGCCGAAATCTGACGCAACCGTTTGAACACCTCGAACCCCGAAACAAATTTCGCCCCCCCGCCATCTTCATCTCCCCTCCTCTTCTCTTTCATCTGTTTGGCCACCCTCGCGTCCCATCCCTTCGGGCCCGTTCCTGTCCACCCCGGCCTTGGTCAGGGCACCCATCTTCGCGGCCTTGACACCTGTTGCCTCGGAACCGGGACAGAAACGCGCGAAAGGGGCGAGCGGAAGAGAGACATGTTTGCCAGCCTGGGCTGCTAAATGGTGAGTTCAGCACTCTGGCCATGCAATTTGTGTGGCGCAAGCAATGCACGTATCTATTATCCATGTGGTAAATGCTATGCGGTGCAAGCTCTATGGTGCGATTTCCATGTGGTGCAACCTATTTGGTCCAATTCACTTTGACTGTCGTGAAACTGTCCTCTCCACACCCGCAACTTGGTCGCAAGACCTCTTAAGACCGTGACGGTAGGTACCACGTGACGGTAGGTACCAAATGGCACTTGGCAACGACACCGACGCCGACGACGACAGCGACAACGACGACGCCGACGCCGCCGACACCGACTACGACGACACTGACGACGTCTCCAACGACTTCGACGACGACGACGACGACGACGCCGCCATCTCCGAGGTCCCCCCCTCTTCTCTTTCATCTGTTTGGCCACCCTCGTGTCTCATCCCTTCGGGCCCTTTCCTGCCCATCCCGGCCTTGGACAGGGCACCCATCTTCACGGCCTTGACACCTGCTGCCTTGAGGCCGGGGCGCAAACGTACGGAAGGGGCGAGCGGGAGAGAAAAATGGCTGCCAACGTGGATCCCTGAGCAGTGTGTTCAGCACTCTGAACATGCAGCTTGCGCGGCGCAGGCACTGCGCCTATCCATTACCCAAGTGGAGAATGCTACGTGGTGCAAGCTCTACGGTACACTGGTTGCGATAGGTGGTGCGCTTGATATGGTGCAAGCTTCTGGGTGCAAGATATGAGGTACAATCTACGTGGCTCAATTCACACTGCCGAATTCGAAATTGTCAACTGCACCGCTGGCACAATTATCCCACCCACCCACCCGCAGCTTGGCTGCCAGAACCCATGCGGCGGCGACTGCGATGACTGCTCGGCGCTGGCTGGCGCATCGCCGCGTCCGCGCTGGCGCGCACGCTCGCGCGCACAGCGGCCAATTGGCTTGGCGCGACCAGCGCGGCCGCGGTGGCGCTGACCCGTGGGCACGTCGCAGCGGATACTTCAGTTACGAGTCGGCGACTTGGGCCGGCGCAGCATCATTGCAGCGCAAACAGTGGTAGACGCGATGCTGACGGTAACGATTCTGGTGACGATGACGACAACGACGACGGAACGGCCTGTGCCCGCGCCGATGCTGATCCCGCTGACGACGATAAAGGCGTCCTCGCGTCGGTGATGAAGGTTTGCGAAGGAGTTCGGCATGAGCGCGCGGCCGACGCGTGAGTGGCCCGCATGGTATTGTTTGACGCCGATCGTACCTCCCCGCCCAGCACACGCGCAAGGGCGTTCGAATGACAGGCGGCGCGAGAGGCCCGTTTGGCATGGCTTTCTGAAGAAAATCGCCAGGCCGCGAGCGCAAGCTTGTTTTGGAACGCTGATGTTGCAAAGCCAACTGTCTTTGTGTATGTTTCGGGACACTCGATTTTGAAATCCTTACGAAATCTCGGATTGTTGAAAGATTGTGGCATGCGCGCGCGACGACGCGCGCGTGCGCACTTCGTCACATCTGCTGCAAGGGATTATTGCGACAGCACGCGCTCAAGGGTGTTGTTGCGATTCCGACACGCGAGCGCGAGAGAACCGTTTGGCAGCATGTTAGGAACATGTTGAAGAACCTGTGGTTTCTCAAACTATCGCAAGAGCCCGAGCGCAAGCTTGTTCTGGCACTCCTGGCTTGGAAACCATGTTCTTTTCCAAACGAAGAGTTGGGGACACTCGATTTTGCAATCCTTACGGCACTGAGGGTTTTGACTGATGTCGGCATGCGCGCGCGACGACGCGCGCGTATGCAGCTCGCCCCATTTGTTACACAATCTTATTGAACACTGATGACTGTTGATTAACGGGTGCGCGCGCACAAACTGTTTGCAGAGGATGAGGGGGGGACTAAGGGCCTGCTTGCGATGGTACGGACTTATATCTAGGATTGACGATGAGTCAGACTTGATTTGACCGCAACCGACAAGATAATACCAAAGCACGCCAGCGAGAAACTCGTGCACATTTGACACGCTATTCGCACGCTGTTCGCTGTATGGGCGACGCGCCGTTCGCTGGATGGGCTGATGGGGGCACACAAGCCGTTCATAACCATTCTGGACAATTGTGATCACAGTACGCGGGGTACTAGGACAGAGATGTCGAACAAATACCCTCCGCACCCAAAGTCTCACCCGACTCCATGTTGCGCAGACCACGCCTCATGACCGAAAATATGTCGAACATTCGCCACGTCCTGACTCCTGCAGCCTTTGACGCTGGAAGAAGCCTGTGGAAGGGGTGATCACAGGGTGATCTGCCCTGGTTTCCAGCTGGGTAAAACGGTAAAACAAGATTAATCATCGCATGCGTAGCCAGAAAACAAAGCGGGATAGCCAGGAACGAGATACAAAAAACGTGGCGCACGCCAGTTGCAGAACACCTTGACAATCACCACAGTACTCGGACGATTGAGACATGTTGGCATGTCTGCCAGCTGCCTAGCAAAAGCGTGTGCTCTTCCAGGTGCTCGCAGAAGTGGGTGTAATACCGCCAACTCGTGTTGCCCGCCGATGCCATGTTCGGACCCCTAGGCTGCTCCGAGACGGTAATAGAACGTCCCTAAACGAATTGCGCATGTCCGAAGACCATGTCAAGACGGTGTCCAAAAAGCTCCAACAGCCCCCCCCGAAGCCCCGAGGTGCCCCAGAAGCCCTTCAGAGACGCCCGAAGAGGGCTCGAAGCGAAGCCCGACGAGGCCTAACAACCAGAGACCACACATAGGAACTCCATTGGAGCCGGGGAGCCCTAGTTAACCAGAAGACGAAGGAGGGGAGCGACCTCGCATCGTCAGGGTTTCCCTCGAGGAGGGCAAGCACTAATCAAACCTTGGGAACCCCATGCGTTTTGGTATGGCCATAGCCCCCTCTCCCCAACATGGCTGTTGCTTCCGAGGCGCTTGGCTTCAGATGCCCTCGGGAAGGCTCCATACCAAGCTTTCCCCACTCCCAAAACGGGACCCGCCGCTAATCTTCGCGCATTGCTCCATGTTGACGCCACCTCGACTCTCCCGCCAATCCCCTCCATCCCCCTCTCCTCCCCCTCCTATTCCAACCAGCATCCGTCGTTCGGCTACACGCAGCAGTGGCCCTAGGCAAGAATGACAGAATGCGTTTTCGTGCGCGGACTACTAGGGGGCGCGCAAGGTAGCCAAATCCAAGCGCGCAAGCAGCCGCTATCGCATCGCGCTCAGCGATTGGGGGGGAATCTGGTGAGACGGCACCAAACGTCAATCTGGAGAAGGTCACTTTTACGCGTAATCGATCCCCTGCTGGCAGGACCCGACAGATGCTCGTCGTCCTGTGTGGATGGTCATAGCTCGGGTCCCTTGCGCCCGTTTGAAACGATCTGGGCACCCCTGGAACGCACTCGGTGCGGCGCAGCTGCCATCACGAAGCTGGAAACCGCCGAAATCTGACGCAACCGTTTGAATACCTCGAACCCCGAAACAAATTTCGCCCCCCCGCCATCTTCATCTCCCCTCCTCTTCTCTTTTATCCGTTTGGCAACCCTCGCGTCCCATCCCTTCGGGCCCTTTCCTGTCCATCCCGGCCTTGGTCAGAGCACCCATCTTCGCGGCCTTGACACCTGTTGCCTCGAAACCGGGACAGAAACGCGCGAAAGGGGCGAGCGGAAGAGAGACATGTTTGCCAGCCTGGGCTCCTAAATGGTGAGTTCAGCACTCTGGCTATGCAATCTGCGTGGTGCAAGCAATACACGTATCTATTATCCATGTGGTAAATGCTATGCGGTGCAAGCTCTATGGTGCGATTTCCATGTGGTGCAACCTATTTGGTGCAATTCACTTTGACCGTCGTGAAACTGTCCTCTCCACACCCGCAACTTGGTCGCAAGACCTCTTAAGACCGTGACGGTAGGTACCAAATTGCACTTGGCAGCGACACCGACGCCGACGACGACAGCGACAACGACGACGACGCCGCCGACACCGACTACGACGACACTGGCGACGTCTCCAACGACTTCGACGACGACGACGACAACGACGACGACGACAACGCCGACGACAATGACAACGAGGCCGACGACGACGCCGACAACGACGAAGACGACGACAATGACGACGACGACGCCGCCAACGAAGACGACGACAACGACGACGAGGGAGGAGAGAGGACGACGACGGCGACAACGACGACAACGACAAAGCGGGGGGGAGGACGGCGACGCCGATGACGACAACGACGAGGGAAGAGGGAATACGACGACGACGACGGCGACGAAGTAAGAGGGACGACGGCGAGACGCCGACGACGGACGACGACGTCGGAGGAAGAGGAAGGACGACGACGGCGACAACGACGGAAACGACGACGACGCCAAGACGACGACGACCAGGAAAGACAGACGACGACGACTACGACTACGACGACGACGACGACGACGAGGGAGGAGGGAGGACGGCGACGACGACGACGACGCAAGAGCGCGCGCGCACGCTTTTGTTGAAAATCCGTGTTGCAGAACCTTGTGGTTTTGTATGTTTTTTGGACACACGGTTTTGAAACCCTTCCGAAGACGAAGAATTTTGAAATATTTCGGCATGCACGCGCGACGACGCGCGCGTTTGCAGTTCGTCCAGTTTTTTTTGCAGAGGATTCTCGCGACGGCACGCAAAGGGCGTTCAAAAGATTTCGACATGCGAGCGCGTAAGCCCGTTTGGTAGCATGTCTTGAAAATCTTGAAGAACCAATGGTTCCCGTAAGATTTCGCAAGAGCGCGCGCGCGCAAGCTTTTTTAGAGCAGCTTGCGAAACCCTGTGTTTTTGAATATTGTTTGGACACATGATTTTGAAGCCCTTCCGAAACCAACGGTTTTTGACGTGTTTTGGCATGCGCGCGCGACGACGCGCGCGTGCGCATGTCGTCCCATCTGCCGCAAAAGATTACCGGAAACTTGTGAGTTCTGATAAACGAGAGCGCGCGCATAGTAATTGTTGCAGAGGATGGCGGGGGGGAGTGGTACTGGCTTGGCTGGGATAGCACGAATTCATTTTTAGGAAGGGCGATGGGGCAGAGTCATATGTACATTACAGAGCGAAAAGGTGGCCCGTTAACCTGGGGGGGGGAAGAAGAATTTATGTTTACAAGCGAAGTTGACAGATCACACGCCCATGCGAACACCCCACCCACCACCCACCCGCAACTTGGTTTGCAAAACCCAAGCGGCGGCGATTGCGATGAGTGTTCGGCGTTGGCTGGTGCATCTCTGCAGCCGCGCTAGCCCGCGCATGCTCTCGCGCACAGCGGCCAGCGAGTTTGGCGCGACCGACGCGGCCGCTGTGGCGCTGACCGCCGGGCACTTCCCAGCGGGCACTCCACTGCGACTCGGTGACTCGGGCGGGGGCGGAATCATGGCGACGCCGATAACGGTGGACACGATTAGGCAAGTAGCGATGATGGTGGCAATGGTGGCGATGATGAAGGCAAGGCCAGTGACCGCGCCGATGATGATCACGCCCGCCGATAACGATGACAATGCCCTCGCGTCGGCGATGAAGGTTTTTGAAGGAGTTCGGCATGCGCGCGCGGCCGACGCGCGCGGGTGGTCTGCGTGGTATGATATAACACGGATCGCGCCCCTCCCCAGCCGGGCGCAAAGGCGTTCGAATATGTTCGACATGCGGCGCGAACGGCCCGCAGACTTTAAACAACATGGTGGAGACGATGAATTCCCTAAGAAGCCGCCAGAGCGCGAGCGTAGGATTCTTTGAATAATGATGTTGGAAACCGCGTATTATTCTAAGTTTTCGGGGCGCTCCATTTTGAAATCTTTACGCGACCAGGGGTGTTCGATGGATTCGCGCGAGCGCGACGCGCGCGTGTACTTCGTCTCACGTTTGCAACCGACTCTTGCGAAAGCACGCGCGCAATGGCGCCCAAACGATTTAGACACGCGCGCGTGAGGCCAATTTCGAAGCACGTTATGAAACTGAGGAAATGCACAGGTCTTCTCAATAATCCGCAAGAGCGCGGGCGCAAAATAGTGTAACACTTCATGTTGCGTAACAAAGATGGATTCATCTGATTTCGTGCCACTCGATTTCCAAATCTTTACGGCACACGTTTTTTCCAACAGAAAAAAGTTCCCGGCGTGCGCGCGCGACGACGCGCGCGTATGCACGTCGTCCCGTTTGTTGCAACATACGTTTGCACATTTCTGATTTCTGATAAACGAAAGCCCGCATAGTACGTTCTGCAGAATATACGGGAGAATATACCGATAGTGGCCTGTCTGGCATTATACGAATTCATATTCAAGGTGGACGATGGTGCAGAAACATCTGCAAATCGCAATGCGAACAGGTGGCCCGTTAACCCGGGGGGGAAGAGGTAAATACGAATGTTTTAAAAAATAGACTTGATCTTACAAATGAGTTTGACAGATCCCACGCCCATGCAAACATCCCACCCACCACCCACCCGCAACCTGGTTTGCAAAACCCAATCGGCGGCGATTGCGATGAGTGCTCGGCGTTGGCTGGTGCATCTTTGCGGCCGCGCTAACCCGCGCATGCTCGCGCGCGCAGCGGTCAGCGAGTTTGGCGCGACCGACGCGGCCGCTGTGGCGCTGACCGCTGGGCACTTCCCAGCGGGCACTTCACTGCAACGCGGTGACTTGGGCGGGGGCGGAATCATGGCGACGCCGATAACGGTTGACTAATCATGAGAGTAGCGGTAAAGGTGGCGATGGTGTCGATGACGACGGCAAGGCCAATGACGGCGCCGATGTTGATCACGCCTTCCGATGACGATGACAATGCCCTCGCGTCGGCGACGAAGGTTTAACAGCAAACAAAAAGTTCGACATGCGCGCGCGGCCGACGCGCGAGTGGCCTGCGTGGTATTATATCACACGGATCGTGCCACCCCCCACGCCAGCACGCGCGCAAGGGCGTTCGAATGAGCTTCGCAGGATGTGATGAAGATGTTACACAAAAAGGAATTCGCAAGAGCGCGGGCGCAGGATATCATTGAAAACTGATGTTGCAAAACCATGTGTTTCGATATGTTTTCGGGGCGCTCGTTTTTGAAGTCCTTGCGGAACCGACACTTTCGAAACAAATCCACCGTGAGCGCGAAAACGACGAGCGCGCGCGCGCGCGTTCTGTCTAATATATTACAAGGGATTATTGCGACAACACGCGGGCAAAAACGAGCGAACGATTTCGACACGCGCTCGCCAGAGGCCCGTGTGTTAGCTTGGTATGAACATGTTGAACAACCGGTGGCTTTCTAAAGAATCCAAGCGAGCGCCGGCGCCGGTTATGTTATATATCGATATATATATATATATATATATATATATATATATATATATATATATATATGGTCGCCCCCACCCCCACCCCCCAGCGCACCCCAAACCACCCACGACCACAAATCCATCATTGATCGTTTGCTCCTGCTGATGCTCCTCCTCCTCCTCCTCCTCTTCCTCCTTTCCCTCCTCCTGCTTCTCTGCTTCTTCCTCTGTTTCCTCTCTTTTCTTTCTCCTCCTCCTCTCATCCTCCTCCTGCTGCTCCTCCTCCTCCTCCTTATGAGAAGCCTTACAAAAGGGGCTGCTCTCTGCGGAAACCATACGAAAACACAAATATTCCTGATATGTTTGAATGCTTTGGCAAGGAAACCATCTGAAAACACAAATATTCCTGATATTTTTGATGGTTTTCGTTAGGAAACCCTGTGAAAGCACAGATATTCCTGATATTTGCTGGTTTTCTGGAAAAGGGCGCCCCTCCCCCTGCTCCCTCCCCAGGTCCACGCCCCTCAGGGACAATGCGCCAGGCAGGAACACCTGTGAAAACACAAGTATTCCTAATAGTTTGAAAGGTTGTCGCACAGAAACCTTGTGAAAACACAGATATTCTTGATATGTTTGATGGTTTTCATAAGGAAACCATGTGAAAACATAGATCTTCCTGATATTGTTGGTGGTTTTCGTTAGGAATCCCTGTGACAAAAAAAAAAAATATTCATGATATTTTGCGGTTTTCTTGATACGGGCGCGCTGCAAAGGCTGGTGGCGCAAGAGGAAGAGGGGCGCCCGTCTCCAGAAAACCAGAAAATATCAGGAATATCTGTGTTTTCACAGGGTTTCCTAACGAAAACCATTAAACATATCAGGAATATCTGTGTTTGCACATGGTTTCCTTATGTAAACCATCAAAAATATCAAGAATATCTGTGTTTTTTATATGGTTTTCTTGACAAAAACTTCAAACATATCAAGAATACCTGCGTTTTCATAACAGTTCCCTTACGAAAACGATTAAAACTATCAGGCGCGTGTGTGTGTGTGCGTGCGTGTGTGTGTATGTGTGTATGTGTGTGCGTGCGTGTGTGTGTGTGTGTGTGTGTGTGTGTGTGTGTGTGTGTGCGTGTGTGTGCGTGTGTGTGTCACAAGGCTTCCTCGCGACAGCGGCCGCAGCATGGACGGGACTTGTGTTTTCACAAGGTGTCCTTACCAACGCCTTATGGACCCTCTGCGTCTAGCTTTGGGCAGCAGACCTTGCTCAGCCGATCGGGAGACGTGGGCAGCAAACGGTGAGGAAAGGAAGAACAAGTTCACAAATAATATGAGGGTGGCGACGACGTGGCGACAACGTTTTCTGGAAGGTAGCGTTTGTGGTTGCTGCTGTGACTCCCTCGTCTTTGGCATAGTCGGGGCAGCCAGTGTACAATCGATCAGCATTTATAATATCGAGGGGCAGCGTTGGCCGCTGGCTGCCCCCCGCCGAAGCGGCCGCCCGCTCATTCCGACGCATCGGCATTCATTCCGCCGCCCAGGCCGAGCGGATCGCCGTTGTCTGCATCGGCGAGCGCAGCGGCGAGGTCCTGGCTACTGGGCGCGGCGGCGGCGCCGCGGGCCTCTTCGGGCGAGCTCGAGAGGTCGATCTCGACCTCCGGGATGCTCCCGAACGACCTCGCCCAGCAGATGCGCTTGGGCAAGGGCGGGAGGGGCTCGCGGGCCGCCGACGAACTACTGCCGCCCTCGGCGCCGTCAGGCGGCTGCTCCTCCTTGACCGAGAGAGGCAGGGGCACGGAACCCTTGTCCAGCAGCGCCTTCATGAAGCGGAGCTGCTTGTCCCTCAGCGAGTTGTATTCCTCGGCGTCCCGCATCGCGCCGTTGTGGATGTAGTCGTAGAGAATATTCCCCGCTGCCTTGGTAATGTAGTGGCCAACCTTCGGGGCCCTCGTCACGTCCGAGTCCAAACCCGCCGAGCGCTCGAACGCGTCATTGGGGGTGTTCACGACCGCGGAGGACCGCTTCAAGAGGGCCATTACGTTCGCTTTGGACATGTCCTTGGGGAACGTGCGCTTGAGCATGTCGAAGAAGTACTGGTTTCGCTTCTGCTTGGCCTCAGCTGGCGACAAGATGCACAGACCGCGCCACGCGTCCATGGTGGGGGCAGCCGTCTCGTCGTACATGTTCTCCGCGGCGAAGCGCGCCTGGCCCCGAACGAACTTGGCAGCCCCCCACCGCTCCCTCGTCATCGCCTGGAACTGGCCGACGTCCAAGAAAGCCTTCAACGTCTTCGGGCGCTGCTCGAACAAGTCGCCGCCATCAAAGACGCACGGGCAGTGCTTCGTGCCCTCTTCGGCCCTGAAGAAATCCAGGTCTGGCCCCTCTCTGAACGAGGCCAAGCCGCGGCCCCCCAGCTTGTCTGCGTAGTAGTCGCCCATGGCGAATGCCAGCGTCTCCAGGTACGGCGTCTTCCCCTCGCCAGGCTCGCCGACCATGAGGCAGGAGTGGCTCTTGAAAGTAGGCACGATGCGCTTCGCGCGCTCGACGCCCTCGCCCCCTGTGTCGAAGATGAAGATGGGGTGGTACGTGATCTTTTTCGCCTGAATGCCCTGGTCCTTAATGTGCGAGAGAACCTCCTTAATCTTCCCCTCTTTCCAGCTGTGGATGGGGCTCTGCGGGTCGTTCAGCTGGAAGTCGATCCACATCATCTGTTCGCAATCGAAGTTGCCGCGCGGGGCGTTGTCCTTAATGAACTGGTACTGGGATACGATCGTGTCCTGGGGAAGGCACTTCTTCTTCTTCTCCTTTTCGCCCTTCTCCTGCGGGGGTAGGTGGTTACGGAAGTGCGCGCCACCGAGCCGATCCACCATGTGGACCAAGACTTTCCACGGCGTCTTGACGTCCGCTCCCTTGCCCCAAGATAGCGTGTACAACACTTCGTTCTCGCGCGGGAGGCGGTTCTCGACGTCGACCAACGGCTGCGGGCCCGAGAACAGAAAGTACCTGATGATGTCTGTCCCGTCGCCGTCGCCAGCGGGCACCAGTGCCAACTGCGTCGTGTAAAGGGCTTCCCAGTTTGTTCTGGGGCGCAATAGCTCTGGCAGACCATTGTAGTCGTTGGCCGCCATGGCCCCCCGCACCGCGGCCATGTCGATGTCCCCCTGGTAGTTCAAGACAACGGCAAAGGCATGCTTCATCTTCCTGCAACCTTCAGACGGCATGAGGGGGAGATCCCCTACAGAGTAGAGAACTGGGGGATCGTCCTGGAATTTCTCTGGGTGCAACGCCGTCTGGTACATCGGGACGGCCGAGCCGTGGCCGCGGACCTTTTCGAATACCTGCTGGATCTTCTCGCTGTCCGCCCCCTCGACCTCCAAGTGCGCCCTCAGGGACTTCATTCCGAGGGCGGGGAGGTTGGTCATGAGCAGAGATATACCAGGGGCTTGTGCGCGTGCGAATGTATTCGGACACCCTGTGCAAGCCTGATCAATAGCGGCGGCAGGACGCAGCGGGGGCGGGGGCAACCGCAGGGGGGCGGGGGCTGAATCAACGACGACGACGCGACGACGGCGACGGCTGCTCCTGATCATACCCTTGCGGGCGGACTTTCCATGCGGGCAGACTACGTAGTTTTTCTCGAACCTCAGAACCAATATGCACGTCCGCACACATATCGCTTGGGCACTCTCGCTGCGCTGGCCCAACATTTCGCCGCGCGGGAAGCAGTGCGGTGCCAGGGTAGGTGGCATTTGAGACGGAGGTATGCAGTGCCTCTGCAGCGGCAGATGGGCTCGCTCACTCGTGCTGCTGCTGGAACAGAGCGGTAAGCATATTGCCCGTCTGCGCCCACAGTTCCTCGCCCTTGTTCCAGTGGCACCACTGGAAGGACCTCACCTTGTTTGCCAGCGCGCGGGAGTTCACCTTGCGGTTGGGGCCAAGGTGGCGCCTCAACCCGCCCCAGACGCGGTCAATGATCTGGGCCCCGCACTTCACCCAGATGCGCTTCTTCTTGTTGGAGCATCCATTGTCTGCAATGTCGTGATACCTGACCTTCGTGAAGGCTGGCTTGGCCCACGCGTACTTGCCGTTCACCTGCGAGGGGCGGCAAAGGGGCCGACTGTCCTTTGCCTGCGCCGACTCTGACAATGCCCACATCGTACCTCTGGTCAAGTGGTCGAGCCAATTGACTCTGCGGCAGAAAAGGGCACCGCCGCAATCGGCGTCGGCGAGGGACGGCCACCTTCCCCTCCTCCACCCACCCACCCAAACACAAACACCAGCGGCCTTCACGCGCTTCTTCATGTGGACGACCCAGTCGTGGACCACGCCGTCAACGCGCAGCTTGTAGGAGCGGGCGCCGTCTGCGTGGAGTATGACTTTGCGCTGCTTGAGCCACTTCTTGGCCAGCGGGGCCCAGTCGCGCTTGCGGATCGGGCCTGGGCCTGGCGCCCTCCGCACTGTTTTCCCTGGGCGAAGCCTGAAGAGGACGAGCGACTTAGGGTCTCCGCGCTGGACAATCCCGCCCCACTGCTCCCACGCCACTGGCTTCTTGGTGCGCGAGGTGGCGTCTGGGCCCTCGCCCCTGGCAACGTCGACCTCGTCCGCCTCGACGCCGGGCCACTCGACATCCTCGCCGAAGCGGATCTTCTTCTCTTCCTGCCGCGCGTACTTGGCTCTGGCATCGTACAGAGACTTGTATATGGATTCCGCCAACTTGTGGTTCTTTTTCAGCAGGTAGCGAACCGTCGTCTGCGTGCACCCAGATACAGCGCAGAACAAGATCGCAGCCTGGCCACCAAGCCCAGCATGGGACTTCCCAGTACCGACGCGAAAGATAGGGTGGAAGGCATGGGGCAGTACGCGGCGCTTGCAGTCTCTGCCCTTGCACACGCGCGCCCACCCGCCCCCCTTCGCCCCGAAGTCCTTGAGAGGGCCGAGCGTTGACCTCTGGCAGCACGGACAAGCCACGCCGTGCCATTCGGGCAGGACGCCATCCTTCTTGAGCAAGTTGATGATAGTCCTCAGGGGGCGGTTCACGATGTCCTTCAGGCAGCGTGCCCACTGTTCGCGGTCTCGCCGCGACTTTGTCGTCGAGGCTCCGTGGCGCACGTATGGCGCGCTCTGCGGGGCGCGAGTCTTGGGGGCATCTCCCCTCTTCATCTTCATCGCTGCGGCGCTCTTCATGACAGCCTTCTTCTTGCCAGTGCCCTTCAAGAAGGCGCGCAACTTGCCTCTCTTCGCGGGCGGGAAGTACTTCTGGCCCTTGCCCATGGCAGCTGACGGCGGCCGAGCGGCAAGGCCGCGAGGGCAACGCTGCGGGCTCTGGGCCAGCGCCCCGACGACGGAAGTGAACGCTCGAACCAAAACTGCTGCGAATTCAACGAAGACGAATGCGAGGTGGAGGGGTGCCAACGGGGAGGCAACGCTTATGCGATGGCTCGGCTGGTCGCCATCCGCATCGAAGACGACTTGGCGGTGAGGCGGTAGTCCGAGGGCGGCCTGGGCGCGGCGTTCCATGAAACTCTAAGTTGCTGACCAATCCACACCCTCGACATGTGTTCGCGCAAGGGCGTCAGGCGATGTCAGCCACGCGGCGCACGTCCGAACCTGGGATGCAACCGAATAGCGCGCGCGGCAGCGCGCCGCTGATGCACGAGGGGCGCGCTCGAAACGAATCGTCGTTTTTGTTTGCAACAGGCAGGGGCGCAAGACAATGTCCGTCTGCGTGTTTCTAATGAACCGAGCTTTTGGCCAAGCAGCGATTTCGATGTGGAGTAACAAGCATTCTGATAGGCCCTGCGAAAATATATCTGTAAACTATATACAGCGCGCACCAGAAGCAGGCAAACATTCGCCGTTGTGGCCAGGGCGTACTCCGAGCGGAAGTTGTGGCCAGGGCGTACTCCGAGCAAAGCCCGAAGCCGCCCTGGTCCAACACGTCCGCGAGGAGCCTTCGCTGCGGTTCTGTCGTTTTCTGCTGCGTCTCTCCAGGCTCCTCCCCTGGCTTCTCCTTCGCCTCCTCCTCCTCCTCCTTCAGCTCTGGCGCGTCCTCCTGCTTTGGCTGCTGGTACTCCTTGTTCTTCTGGATGAGGGCCTGTTGTGTGTGTGTGTGTGTGCGTGTGTGTGTTGTTTTTTGTGTTGTTTAAAAATAATTAAATAATTTGACATAGGAACCTGATATGCGTGCCGCACAGGCTCCGTAACAATGGACAAGGCGTGCTCGACGTCGTCGTCGCGGCCGGACAGGCCCATGATCTTCTTCACCACGGCGCCTCTCTGAGGGCCTGTAAGGACGCCGGCGTCCGCGCAGGCGCAATTGCAACACTTTTCATTTGGCTGTGCGTTTCCTCTGGATTTTTCGCCCTGTTTGTTGATCGCGCCGAACTTGCAATCCAGATTGATGCACAAGGATGGCATGTTCCAAAACAGCATCAACAAAAAAAGACAAATACGTTAGCGTATGCTTGGCAACGGCTTGAGCACAAAACGTTAACTACATGATGAAAGTGAGCGTGAGGACGCTGATGAAATATGGTGTTCGTCATCATCAAAATCATCATCATTGCAATCGTCATCGTTGCCATCGCCATCATCTTAATCGCAATCGTCATCAGAACCATCCCCATTATCATCATCATCATCATCATCATCATCGTCGTCGTCCTCAGCCCCATCATCGTCATCATCATCATCATCATCATCATCATCATCATCATCATCATCATCATCATCATCATCATCGCACTCGACATCATCAACTCCAGGAGGATCCAAGAGGCCTCCAAGAAGCTCAAGAGGCGCCCAAGAGGCGCCCAAGAGGCCCCCAGAGGCCCCCAGACTGCCCGTAAGAGGCTTCAAAACTGCTTTCAACAGATCCCCGAGATGCCTCCCACCATATCCCAACGAACATCCAAGAGGCCTCAGGTGCCTTCTCGAACAATCGCCATCGAACATGCTGAGCCTGATGAGGGGAGGAGCGTGAGGGAGCCAGGAGGAGGAAGAGAAAAATGGTCGTTGGGGTGCGCTGGGGGGGGGGGGCGAGCATATATATATATATATATATGTGTGTATATACACATATAAAACAAGTCACCGGGTTGCGAAACCATTTTTTCATGCGTTCGTGACTTGCAAATTTGAATGTTTCACAACACCGGATGTTTCTCAAGGGTTTCGGCATGCGCGCGCGACGACGGGCGCGCGCGCACTTAGTCCTATTTTGTGCAAGTGAGTTTTGAAACCTTGTGATTTGTGATCGACGCGTGTGCGCGCATACTTGCTTGGGCAAAGGGTGACGAGAGGGACCGACGCAGGCCTGCCTGTGATGCACAAAGTTCATATCTCGGATGAGCGACGGGGCGAAATCGCATGCAAACTGCAAAACGAGAAAAATGGCCCGTTAGGCCCAATGGGGGGGGAGTACATCCGAATTCTTTCTGGGAGAAACAATCTATAGGAACAGTTCCGTGTTGCAAGATCTGTGATGCAATTTACGCATTGCAACATTTACGGTACGCGGCGCCCAGACGCGCCTTCGGCGCGACCCCCCGGGACAACAACCCAGTGCACGAGGCGCCCACGAAGCGCCCGCGGGCGACCGCCGGGGGAGACCCTGATCCACCGACCCTCATCAAGCGCCCACGAAGCGTTCACGGGCTCCCACCTGGCGGATCCCCGACACGCCCACCCATCGCAGGAAGCACCGATGCAGCGCCCAGGGGCGCCCACCGGACGAAACCCTGGCACGACACGGAACGCCAGCAGTGACACCCGACACGCCCATTTCGTCGTCGCAGCGCGGCAGAGGAGGCAATCCGCACGCTCGCCCGGGCGGTCCGGGCATCGGGACGCGCAAACTAGTCGGCGGCAGCGCAACGCAACGCAAAAATCCGACGCCGAGGCGCGTGGACGCAACCCTACATGCAGTGGCAACAGACAGCGGACTGCCAAGCCACCCGGTCTCCCAGATCTGCTGGTGCAAACTAACCGGCGGCAGGAGGCGGGGAAGGCAGGCGAAGGCGACCGCCAGGGAGGAGGGGGTGAAGGGAGGGCACCCGCAGCCACACGGCAAGCCCATCCGAGTGCAGCCATCGTGGCACCATGGGAAAGCATTTGTCCGGCCACGGCGGAGATTCGGCCACGGGCAAACTCGCCAACCGAGGCCCGAGGAACGGCCCGAGATCCAGATCCCCCTCACAAGGAGTGATCCGAATGAGGGGGCCGAGCGGTCATCCACTGCCCCGCGGCGCTTCGGTGTCGCTTTTGTTTTTGTTGTTGTTGCTGCTGTTGAACTCTCGCTTCTGAAGAGTAGCTCTTGTTGATCCCCCCTCGCCAGTGCATGCTGTTTTTTTCGAAATCAGAATGTGCCCCTCGACGCTCGCACCCTGTTTTTCTGACAAGGAAATCTTCGTGTTCACACTGTGCCCTTGGCCCCCTGGATTGCAACAACAGCGGCTCCCGCCGAAGACTTCTTCCAAATTTGCGCAGGACCCCCGCTCCCGAATGAGACCTCCTCACAATTTACTCAGGATCGGTGCTCCCGCCTGCGACCCCTTCGCAATTTAGTCAGGACCCCCGCTCCCATCTCAGATTTCCTCACAATTTACTCAGGGACGGCGCTCCCGCTTGAGACTTCGCCGCAATTGAATCAAGACTTCCTCGCATTTTAATCAAAACCCCCGTTCCCGCCAGAAAACCCATTTAATGCAGGAGTTGTGCTCTCGCTTGTGACTCCCATGCAATTTATTCAGAAATCCGGCTTTTCGACGCTCAGGAAACACGCTGCGCCAAAGACGCCGTCACAATTTACTTAGGAATCGCGCTCTCGCCATACTCAAGCATCCCGCTTGGATGTCCCACCCGCCCGACCCGCCCGTCAGGGGATCGCCCGCCTGTCGTGGGTTTCCGCCCGAGACTTCCGTCAAGAACGGCGCTTTCGCCTAGGACTCCCTCGAACGTTCACGCTCTTACCTTCCTGTTCCTCCTCCCTCTCCCTCCTCCCTCCTCCCTCTCCTCCCTTCTCTCTCCCTCCTCTCTTCCTTCATCCTTATGCCTGTCTGCCCTATTCCCTCGTCTCTCCCTCCTCTCCCTCCTCTCTTGTCCCTCCCCTCTCCTGCCTCTTCCCCCCATCTCTCTCCATCTCTCTCTCTCTCTCTCTCTCTCTCTCTCTCTCTACCTCTAATCAACCGCCCCCTCTTCGCTCCTTCTCTCCTGGCGTTTTCCCTCTTCCTTCGTCCCTCCCCCTCCCTTCCTCCCACTCTCCCTCGTTCTTCCCCTCCTCTTTTTGGAGGGCCCACACCAATTCCAATGGCGGGCACATGTACGCCCACGAAAGATTGTCCGCCCGTTCAGGTTTGCCCGCCAGTCTGAGCCCGCCGCCCCCCGCAAAGAGCGAAGAGAAAGAATCCCCCCCAAAGGGGGTGTGACCGAAAATAAAAAGGGCGGGTATCGAGGATGTGGGAAGTCGTTTTGAATGTCACACGGGCAATTAAGAACGAACTGACTTAGAATGATTGATGTTGTTGTTGCTGATGTTATGGTTGTGCAATTCAAAATTCTCATTAAAAAACTGGCTGCCCCCCCCCTCCGGTGACTATCCTTTTCTCAGCTAAGGTGCTCCTCCTGGGGCCCGCACCCGGCTTTATTTGACTTATCGGGGGGAGCTTGGTGTCACCAATCTGGGTTCTTGGACCCCGAATTACACTTGCAACAAGTACAACAACAAAAACAACAATCATTTAACCCTCATGCGCGATGCTTCCACACGCAACATGCGATCATCATGATAACCATCCCCGTCATGGGGGATTACTGCTCTATTGCGGGGCCCGTTATTCCCATTCCCAAATATCCCGCCCAATGAATTCTTGCAAACACCACCTCCTCCCAGGAATTTCAACATATCTCGCCTCGAAAGCACATGCCCGCGCCTTGCTGCGCCGATGCGAGACCGCCAACGGAGCCCAAGCCAAGGGTAAAGCACAAGGAAATACCGAGCGACAGGATTGCCTTGGTTGGGATGGGGGCTGTCGGCGGCGAGGCAAAGACCTGGCCCTGAATAGAAATGGAGGAAGTCTCGAGCAGGGCCGCTGTTGTTGCTGGGAGCGGCGCCAATGCAGAAAAAGAGTGGGGCGCTAGTCCAGCGTGAAACCACACGAAGTCTCAAGCGGGATCGCTGGTTTTGCTGGGACGGCGGTTGTCGGCGGCGAGGAGGAACACCGCCTTGAGTAAGAAGGTAAGAAGTCTCGAACGGGAGCTGCAGTTTTGTCGGG